AAGAACCCTACTAATGAGGTATCATGTGCATGCTCCAGGGATCAAATTCCGGACTGGAAATCGCTTACGTCGGCCAAACTTCCCGCCTCTGCGGAGTAGGGTGAATAAAACTAGATTTACGGGGGAGCAGAAACACACTGATTTGAACATCAACTAAGGGCGCAGTTCAGCTTGGGGGTGGGGAACACTTCGCACATTTGCTATTTCCCATCATCGTCTTCAGTGCTCTATAAGAGAGTGCTTTATGAGAGTTGTCAGGTATTTTTTGCAACAGTTGACAAGTTGTCTCCGCAAACCTTGACTGTTATCACTTCTTGGCTTCACAAGATTCCACAGATCTCTACTTGACAGTTCACCTGACGATGGGAAGCATGTAAAGTGCAAAATGCTCCCCCTCCTCTAAGCCGGACTGTGCATCAGTTGGCTATAAATGACTGTGGGAGCAAATGGTGTTCAAACGTCACTCCAATTCGGCATCGACTGGAATACGCGGAGCACCTCCCAAAAGATTGGAGTTTGGGACGTGGAAGCACGACAAACGGATTCTCAGAAGGGTTCAGGCTCAGAAGAGTTCTAACGCGGCGTCGTCTCAGGGCACAAGGAAGGGAACATCATAGCGCCGCCGCGTGGCCCAACTCTACTAGAATAGCGCTCATCAGAATTAGCGAAAGGACTAGATACATATACTCGAAATCCCTGAGATCGGGTAGGCGTGGCCGCCTGTTTCAACCTAACCTGAAGGTGTCTGTGCTTCTGGTGAGATATTTTCATCTTGACACAATTGTTGTCGTCTCTGTGTCCAACACAGAACAAGATGACAGTTGTCTCGGACTGGAATATACCACGAGTAACCAGTTTCGTGCCATGTTCAAATGCCACGCCTACTCTAGCTCAGGGACAAGGAGTGTAAGTGATGTCAATTGCTTTGATTTGTTGTCAGGCCAAACGACCCAAACCCACTGGCCCAAACGAAGAGTTGGCAGAAAGGACTCCATACATGTCGATTAGGAGAGTCGCTTAGGTAAAGAAACGGTGACTAGAACGATCAGAAAAAAAAATAATTAGATGCGAATCAGTTCCGCTGACCCCACATCAATACATATCAGCGGACTCCGTGATTCTCTGTTAGGGGCGGGGTCCACGGAATCGACACCTATCTGATCTCTTCAATGACTCCTCCGATTCGCCTGGTTGGACGAAGACAGACCAAATCAACTTGTATATTTTCTTATCGCAAGTTTGCAGTGCCCCCAAAACGTGGACAATAAGCAGGACGTTGAAGATTCCCCAAGTTGGAGATCATATTTGGATTGCTAGTGGGGAGATGAAGTCGATTTTGGCCTGCGGGAATTTTGTTTCTGATAGTTGACTTTTCCTGTTCCGGCGTCCCTTTCCAGGGTTCCAGGGTGCGAAAGACGTGGGAAATGTGGTAAGAACATCGGTAGGTTGGAGAAGTGAGGTCGTACAGGAGGAGGAAGTTCGGGGGTGGGAGGGAGAAGAGTGTCGTATTTAGCAAAAACTTCTCCCAATGCCAGGACAGCTTTTGAAAAGAAATCCTGACTCTAATCACGAAGATGAAGACCCTGAATGCAGATCCATCCGACCGTATGCCGATAGGACCATCACTGCGAATGGTTTGGCGTGCTAATCACTAGATATCTGAAATCATTTTGTTGTTTGTCTTGCGGAGTAGGGCTATAAAAGCCTCACAGAAGTACGATAAAGATCATTCATAGTCAAGTGTCTACAATCTGCGGTTATGTCTACTAGTACTGAGCAAGATCTAATCTTCATTCACTTCTGGAAGTTTCCCGTTCAACCATCTGTAGGCATTATCAGAGAAATCGACGTATTCTCCACGATTCATGGTCCAGTGATTCACGATTGGTGAGATTCTCGACTTCTTCATGTCTGAAGTTGTAGGGAGCCTGAGCTGTAGGCAGATTAACGACAACTGCACACCCACCTTAGTAGGTCCTGGTCTTTGCCACATGTGAGGTGAAGGAGTCCGAAGGAGCAGCAGTGAGCCGCTTTCTCCGCTCAAAAGAACGATGGAACGGGTCCGAGCGTGGTGGCACCTAGGTGCTGTCTCCATACTCCGCTCGCGCTGCAACACGGCCAACCACGCGCCTAGCCATAGCCGAACGCGGTACTTGTCTGCGCCCTCTAGGCTGCGTTTATACTTTGCGGCAGCGTAGCGTAGCGCTTCCAGCGTACGCCAGCGGCAGTGCCGAAGAGAGGATGCATATCGATCTAGCTTCACCAGCGTCACCAGCGGCACGCTGGCGTAGCGAGGGCACGGGAAGCATAGCTATCGATCTAGCTTCACCAGCGTTTCTCGAGCGTTTCTCCAGCGGCACCAGCGTTTTGCTAGCGCTTGCAGCGGCAGGGAGTAGAGACTATGTGGCCGTGAGAGACGCGGAATCGACGTGTATTCATATGAGACACCTGTGGCGCGTCGGTAGACGGCGAAGCGCATGTGCATTGCAGAGACTATGTGGCCGTCGGAGACGCAGAGGCGATGTGCATTGTAGAGACTAAGGGCGAGTGAGAGACGCGCAATCGATGTGTTTTGTACCCTCCAGCTCTCCCATAGTCTCTACTCCCCTGCCGCTGCAAACGCTAGCAAAACGCTGGTGAAACGCTGGAGAAACGCTGGCGTACGCTAGCGTGCCGCTAGCGTACGCCAGCGTGCCGCGTCATCTCTCATTTTCAAGATGGCAAAGATAATGAAGTATGTAATGGTGACAACTACTTTAGGGAAATTCGAGTAGGACCTGACACGTTTGGAGCTTTTCGGCAAGCTGGTTTGAGAAATAGACACGTACAGGTCAGTTCTATTGCAAAGCAGATGCCAGTGAATCCCATGGTGAATTTCGCGGGGCTCAGCAAGTTGGTGGGAGGGGACAGAGTCCACCAACAACTTGAACTCGACTACTTCAATCGCTTCAACCTTCTGCTTCTCTCTGCATGACACCTTATGATCACTGTGATGACCTTATACATTCCAAATTGTCATGCATTTTAACGTAACTGGGTAGAGTGGGAGGGGAGGGGGGAGAGAGAGGGGCAGTCGCCGGTGCCTCCGCATCCCTAACCCCAACCAAGACACCAACCTGGATGAGCCTGTCCTTCTTGGCGAGCCTGATCGTCTGCTTCCAAAACCTGAACCTCTCCTGGAAAAGACACAGAGGCGCGGCCATTTTCCAACTACAGCGCCCCGAACCCTCCTCCTCTGAAGACTCCATCCTAGCTCTCTCACATGTTCTCTGCACTTTGGTGTTCTGGCGGCTGCTGTCCTGTGATTGTCTGGGCGCAGGATATCGCAACAACACCAGAACTTGAAGTTCGCACTCTTAAGCCTGGGCACAGTGTTCAAGCCAAATCGATACACTGCTCTTATCGTGTGTCCTGCTGCTGAGATGGGTGTTCCGTAGTATCGCCAACAGCTCTAGGCTTTGGAAAGTGCGCGATGAACAGAAAGGGTAGGAAAGGTGATTCTATAGAACGCCATACCAATCTGTCTGGGTAAGGGAGGGTCACTCTTTCTCTTTCTGCTAGGTAGGAGTACGTGATGCGCGCCCGACACCACATCGCTTACACCATCCCAGCGATTGTTTAATGGCATGAGAGACGAACAGCAAACGCATCCAAATATGCTTTGGAAAAAACAGCTTCAATCTCCATTGGTAGCATGCTTACTTATTTAGGAGCCCTACTGATTGGGAAGGCAGATCCCGGTAAATCTCATGTCTATACGCCGCCCAACTTTGTGCTAGCAAGAATCTGCTGTTCTTCTCGGTGCCACCCATCAAGTCTTTGGGCTTCTCCTAAAATCAAGCGATACCATAGGCAGCATAGTATGGGTGGGCTGTGTAGAGGTATATATACCTCTACGCGTCAAGAGTAGCTCCCGAGTAGCTCACAAGAGCAAAAGAGCCGAAATGCTACTAATCCTAACAAAGATCACGCGAAATCGTCTTACGACGCTGCGAACAACAAAGAAGCGGTAATTCGCGGGGTAAATCATTGCCGTGTAGGCAATAACGGCCACGGAGATTCGGATGAAGAAAGCAGAATGATATCAAAAACGTTCTATATAAGACACGTGTGATCTAAGCATTGGGTATGTGACAAGAGAATCGTAATTCGCCGCGCTGGTGGGCGTCGCGTGCGACGTCGCGCCCGCAAATGACAATGCAGGTAGTAGATGGCGACAACAGGCAATTCAGAACCGAAAATAGTCATGAATGTCTACGATGACGGGGTCTACATGAAGTCCGGTGCTCCAATCGACAGGTTAACACGAGTTAAGAAAACGCCGCGCTCATGGCCGCGCGCGGCGGAGCGGCAAATTACGATTCTCTTGCCCGTCTCCCCCGAAACCCCTGGCTATACAACGTGGAACAAATGATAAGTGTGAATATCTTGACTCGAGGGCGGCGACGACAGAGCGCGGCAGAGGGCTGACGCTCTTACCTAGCGATTTCGAGCCGAGAAAATAGGGTTCCTCTGTGGTTGCACTCTGCGCCCCCTAGACCGAGGAAGGACTTTTGCACGTTGGTCAGACACGGACTCTGGCTTTTTTATATCGACTTTCTTTTCAGCTTCGCCTCCGTCCTGCAATGTTCAGAGAGCATATTGCCGAAGCAAATAAGTGCATGTTCCAAATGAAAGTACGAGATCGGCAAACAGGAGAAGGTAATTTTCAACTATTTTCAGGGTTGATCTCACAATCAGACATCACACCTCGACTCTTCCAGAGCTGCTGTCACCTGAACCGTGCACTGTCGTTCCAGCGGTCAGTGAGCGGACCCAAGGATTCAAAGTCCCTCCTACATCTGCGATCGGTGCCACTTTAATACAGCTATATCAAGTATCCTCTTATGCAGGTGCCACATTAGAGTTTTGCGCCAGTTGAAAGACTTTTCCTGACTTCACAACTTCTCATTTTTAAGGTCGAATATGCGAAATCACCACCACGATGTCGATTTCCCCGAGTCAGTTTCAGAATTTCGGAATGGGAAATGCTGGCGCCATCCACGCCTCTTCACCTCGACTGGCGGTTTCGACTACTTGACGATAAGTTAGTTGAGAATTAAGGGCACATTCCACGCTGGTCATGTGGGAGGAGCTCACCACTGTACCTTGCTCACTAGTGTGCGCTCATCCACATCGACGTCTTGAGAGCGAGGGCGAGCCAATCAGGAAGTAGCAATGATGGACCCGGCTCCGCCCATACAGCGAGCGCGGACAGTACCTCCCAGCTGCTTGCTGTACCCACTGCCTCATCTACTATGTATGGGCGGGGAAGTCACTCACAATAGGTGACTCTCTCCGCCCACGCAATCGACGTAAACAGTGCCGTTGATAAAAAACGTGAGCTGACTTCTAGCCTGACATACAGTCTACCAATTCAGGTCCTGCCACAACTTCATGATCGTGTGTCGTGACGGGCAGATGTTCACGTCCAAGGAGGCGCTCTACTTCTGCTCTCCATTCTTTCGAGAGTTCTTCAATGGAGCTGGTCGAGAAGCGGACAAGGTGGAGCTCCTGGACTCGGCAATCGATGCTGCTAGAACAGTTCGTTTGTTAATTCCTTCCTTCTAAAAGAAGGTACCCCAAATGGCTATTTTCTAGGTAGTCACCTACATGTGAAGTCAACGTTTTGCTCAGGCTGCCTCAGGTCATGTCACCCTCCCTTGTAAAAGACATCTACAATCTGGCAAATCGGTGAGCTGAAAAGGATTCTCGCGCATGGGGAAGTGACTCTTCTCAGGACTTTCCCTTCCAGATTCGACGTTATGCAGTTAAGTGGTCTTATGTGCAGTCGAACGCCTCGGCCTACGCTGAAGCGTTAGGAGGTGAGACCTTCAGCGTTTTTCTAGGATAAGGACAGAAAATCTACGCATTTGTAGCTGGGCTTCATTCAAAATATGGGCAAAAAGTTGTCATAAGAAGGGGAAGAGGGCAGGAGATCCGTGCTGCGGCGAGAGCGGCTTTACAAGTGACGTGTCGCGAGCCGAGTCGTCTGGCCGGTGTCCACCGCGCGCCAGGACGAACATGGCCAGCGGTAAACGGTCATTGCGAAATCCCTCACGGCTCGGCCATGCTGCATCTTGTACGGCGAAGTTGCATGCTAGTTGGTAACAATGCCCACCACTAACTTTGATTGACCTGGGAGCTTTCCTTTAGCTTTCCTTTCCAGCCTTTATGAGTCTTACCCCGGCTACCATCTCCCTCAGTGGGTGCTAAAATGCGGTCCTTTTCCCCGGTAATGACCCTTGCATAACCATCATCTTACCAAATGTCCCTGGAAAATATGCGGCCGAGCTCAGGTGGGAGGACAGGAGGTCTTCGATCAACTACTAGAAAATAGTAGTTTTTTCGTCGACCACGGTGTAGAAGCGCGCGCGGAACGGGAATAACCGACAATAAGAAAATTTCACTGCTGACATCTCTTCCCCTCCAGTGCGACCAAGAACCGACCCCCACCCCTACCTCCCGTTGGGAGTTTCCAACGTACGACGTCCCCTGACACCAGAACATCTTTTTTGCTGAGTTTCTCCCTAGTTCTGAAGCTTGCTAAAATGGTCCAGAACCATGTCAATTCGTCGTTTTCAGCACAACGAAGAGATGGAAGTGCTTATCGACTGGTTCTTGACGGCACACGAATGTCATATGAACAAGTTGCAGAACGCAGCCGTAGCCTATTTAACCATCTATCACCAGAGAGAATACATCGCTGAGTATGGTGATGGCGAGGTAGGTTTAAGAAGTACTCGAGCCACTTCTGTAAATAGAATTCCTTGAACTGACTGGGAGGGGGGATCTCTCCGAGGGTTCCTGACGGGAATGTGTAGCAACAGTCGCACAATACAGCCCTTGTTCTGGCATCAAAGAGGGCATGCCCACGGACTTATGGTTAGTTGTTAGCGGCCGCGTACCTAAACTCCATATCATTTATATGGGAAAGGCGTGGCCGCGTACTCCAACTGATTATGGTTTAAGACATGTTGTCTGTGGGACTTTTCGTTTGAGACAGCTGTCGTCCTGTATTGTGCCGGACAGACTGACGTAGTGGAACGTGCAATGGCAAGATCAGCCCCGCCAGCATGCGACGAGCATGAAATCTGCTTCGAGATGAACTTTCTGATGAAAAATGATAGGTCTTTTTAATAGCATTGCTGCAGGTGCCTAATCCTCGCCCAGCTGCCGAACGTCTCAATCGAGGTCATGGAGGATTCCGAACAACACCCCATGTGAGGGTTACTATTGCATTTGTTGCGCTGTCTGAAAAGCTCTACCAGTAGCCTGAAAATCATTTCCCATTTCAGCAGCGGGTTCTCAACGCCCAGTTCAGCGTCAGTTGTGTACGTGGAATAGAGAAGGTAGAAGCGTGATTACATTTAATAAAGAATTTTAATTGAAAGTGTCCGGGAAAAGTTGGGCAAGAATGATTCATCGTTCATAGCTAAGTCGCAGGATGGAAGTTCAGATTGCTGGATGTCGGTCAGGAGGTTCCAAGCTCCGACAGCACTGAGACCTCATTTGATTTGAACGAAAATGTCATGGTAAGCAGAACGTAGCAGATAGGAAAAGCCACATGCGCCGCGAGTTTCTGCCTGCCATATCGCACCAACTCGGATCTCCTAATACATTCCCGCGTGCCTAGAGTTAATAAACAAAAGAACAGGCGAGAGTTCACGGTATCTGAGCGCACAAATGTTTGATTAGCTTCAGAGACTCAAGAGCAAAGCTTGAAAGCATTCTTTACGTCGACTATCAACACTCGTTTTCAAGACCTGCTCCTTAATCTTCCGTACTTAGTGGTCTCTTCCTTCCGAACTTATCGGTTTCCCGAGAAACTTAAAGGCAGTTGGCACGATAAATCCCCCAAGACGGCTAGATGAATACTCCTGGCAGGATAGAATTCCGCGACCCTGGGCAGGCGCTGCATAGCGGTTTTCCCGAGGAAGGTGCCCTTATAAGGGCCCTATCAAGCCACAACTTTACGTCCCAAACGCCCGCCACGCCCGCCCGCCCACAAATGGACGACCGTTCCTGACGCTCGTATTCATTCATTTGCTAAGCAAATTATGAAGCGAAGGGATTGGTATGAAGCGGCCGTGATGCTGCATGCATACCCAGAATGTTTTTGGTGACACCTGATGCAGCCACATCTTCGGTAAGCGGTTCATTGGTAGATGCAGCACGGGAAACCTCGTCGCGAAATCCGAATTTTCAAGTCATCTTCTTCGCGACGACTTATTTTTGACCGTTTCATCCTCTCGTTCGTTTCGCGCATTTCCCCACTATAAAGCGCCCCCACTAGCATTTTAGGCTCAGTAGGAAATGATCGTGCGCCAACTGCCTTTTAAAGGCACATTCGACGCTTGGCCTATAGGCGAAGTCGGCGCCTACCACAATGGGCCTCCCTCATTGGTGTGCCTCTTGCTTCTCACAAGGTGTAGGGTAGGGGAGGAACCGCATCAACAAGGAATGCACAATGTTATCGTGATTCCGCCCACACGAGCAGTATGGACTCTGTCCTAAGATTCTAAGAAAGCCACTCAACTACTCTGCGATGTGAACTGCCAAAACGAATAGCTCCCACTCATCCGAATTAGGGTTGAAAGAGTATCCTGAACGGTACAGAACCCCTGGTAGTGGAGCAGGGACGCCGCATACATGCATGGATTCAGAGGTTTAGATTCTGCTAACGAGATTCAGTCTTCAATTTTTCCATGATGAGGTGATCCAATGGGTAAAAGTAATGGTGACCAAATGGAACTCTAAGCAAAACTAGAAGTGCGAGAGCTGAAAGCCCGCAATAAGTGAAGGGAGAAGCCAATAAATTCTTGACATCGGGCTCATCGCCAGGGAATATTCTGAGGCCAACGGAGTTTGAGTTGAAGTTCGAGAGTGAAAAGGCATAGCCATGATATCCTGCAAGTGAGGAATGAGCCAGACAGCGCTTCCCGCTAATGGTTGCGGACTCAGGATGGCATCATTGATAGAAATCTACCTCTGCAGCTACTTTTAGCCCCAGCTCAGACCCTATCTCTTGTAGAGATCTGGTCTGTACGTTGTATGAGTTGAAGTTCCTATAGGGATTTTGCGCCGTGATTAAAGTCAGGACACGGGCCATACAACGCACCATATGATTTCAATAGCCTGCCCAAATAATATCTCTAGAATAGCCCCGCCACTGAGACAAAATAACGCAACTACCACCTGTTGCTTGCGCATTTTTGCTGGCAAAGCCGACGTCGTTTTAGGGCCCCATTATGTCGTTCCTGGGATTTTCGCTTCGCAAAAACCCCTCAAATCGTCTTGACCGACTATACTCGTTGTAAACCCAGTTCATCATGCGTTGCTTAGGTTTCACCTCGCGCTCTGAATGACAAACGTTAACGTTGGCACGTTCCTGTGAGCCAGGCTGTACACTGTAGGACTCAACACGCACTTAAAAGGCCCCATAGACCTGCAAAAAGACCAACTAGCGGTGTATACTTACCCTCCTGCTCGTTGTAAACCTCGCAGTAAACGCTTTTGGATTGAGAGATCGACATGGCAGCGACGCACAGGAGGTACTGCTGCAAGATGTCACGCGCGCGACGTTCGCACCAAGACCTAATCGATTCAACGTGAAGTAGTTTATCGAGTAAACTAACCAGGAAATGCTAGTTTTTGCGCGTCGACGCAATGTGGATCTTACAAACGACGCTCAAATTGAACGCATAACAATATACTCCTTTAGCTGATACTTATTAGTAATACACAATTGTTGTTAATATTCTTCTATCTTTATTAATCCTTAATTCAAATAGAAATACAAGAATCAGCTAAGAGCCAAATAGTTACATTTTATTTACAAATATAATCTACAACAGACACACGCACACGTTTGGGGGGTGAGCAAGTTTCAAAGGCAACAACGGACGAGGAGGGGGGGATGGAACACCGGGTGGTTGGCACGTTTTCGGTCGGTGTGGAACGAGAGCGTTGGCTGGTCAATTCACTATAGCAAGATAGCAAAGAAAGTGCTAGAGATATGTGGATTCTTTTCTATAACTTTCGGCGCAGTTCGGCTTGGTGGGGGCATCAAATGGTACTGAGCAAAGGTAGTTCAGGCCACCTTATGAAGAGCTGTGAATTCCTGTGACCAAAAAGGTTCGCAGCTCAACTGGAGTTTACGAGTCACACAAAAGAGTAACCTGTTATTTAACATGAACTAGCTGAATAGTGAAAATGCCCCCACCAAGCCGAACTGCCCCTAAATTTCTAGTAAACTTGTCGTCAGTTGAGTATCATAAAGCGTAGCGAACGGACTAGAAGAGTCTTCAGACCACGGTGCGGACTTCTCATTCTGTCTGAGAAATCCGTGGCACGTGGACAAATCAAACTAGACGCTGAACAAATATCATCAACATCGCTAACAACATCATCTGTACGCGTTAAATTCGTTATACAATACGTCGATCGATATATCGATCAGTATCGATTTGACGGGGTGTTGACTAGCACCATTGTTTCACCAGCACTTTCATTTCTTGGGCAGTTTTCGACACTGCGATGATACTGTCGATCATTCCCTGCATGCTCTTCAGCTCAGGGTACTGAAAAGGGGGCTTATTTGGGGCGGGTTCTTTAGACAGTAAGTCCTGCGGCTGTCACGTACCTCTTCAGAAGCGAGTTTCGTTGCTGCGACGCATTGCTTGAGCAAATCACATAATCGATCAGCGCATTGTCGAAGACTGTTACTAGCTGTACGATCCCCCACACATTGCGATACCGTATCCCCAATATAAATCAGTTTATGAGCAGCCAAAATGATCTGAAAATAGCCGCGTTATCGTCTACAAGAGCATAGCTGTACGTGTAGCCACTGACCAGCTTTCCCTTTCTGTACAAACTCTCGAGGAGGCAGGTTGTTCTCTACCGTACCCAAAAAGTCTTCGATTGCCAGAGAAAGCGACTCAGTGTGTTGATCTAGTTGTGGAGCGTAAAAGCGAACTAATTGACGATCCTGAAAAAATTACCGTGACGAGTGGAAACTCTTAAAAAAGCCATCAAGGGAAACCTTAAAGTGCAAGAAAAAAAAGAAAGAACAGAAACATCAAAGTGAAATGGGCTCCGAAAGATTCTTTGAAAAAAAATTCAAGAAGTCAAGTATGATGGGCGGTGTTTACGCAAAACCACGGGGGCGAGATAGAAGGTCTGCGATTTGCACATTGATCAGTAACTTTGTTCGCAATGGAGAAAGAAACATATCTCCATCCTCCAACGTTATGTCAGGAGGAACAGATGCCCCGCCCCTTGGCTCTCATTCTTCACTCGTGCACGGGGTACAGCAGCGTGACGTGTGAGGTGGTGGTGTAGGTGCGACCCCCCTCCCAACACCTACCTACAAATTTCCCTCATTTTCCAGTTTTTCACCCGAAAATTTTCCGTCGAGCGGGGCTGGCAGAGGCAGAGGGGCGGGGGGGGAGGATATATAGTGCACATGAAACAGGAAAAATCACGCAAAAAGTCAACAACCGGAAAACCAACGCGAAAACCAAGGGAAAATCATGGTATACAGAACACATCATATCCCGAAGACTGAGTGGGCGTTACTGAGTGCTTTATCGCGTAACGCACTTTTGTGGGATATTCAAGCTCGAAACAACTCATCTTGTCTAGTGCTGAACAAATACATGATTACAATCTCCCAAATACTAACATCCGACCAAGAGCCCCCACCAAAAGTCCCCATTTCAAAATGAGATATGCATCCAGTACGCAGCCACGCCCACTCATTCCTGCTATATGGTGTATGCATATCACGGTGCCTAGAGGGGGTGTGTTCACGGAGTTAGTTGTGATCGCATGCGGCTGCTCATCCGCGAAATTCTGTTCGATTCGTTTTTGAGCAAGACGGTAAGAATAAGTTCCACATTAGAAAACGCATAGTATCTTCGGAGATAGTAATTGCCCTAAGCAGACAAAACTCCCGAGACACGCCCCCTCTAGGCACAGTGACATGGAGGCTAGATCAAGATGGTAGTAACACAATATATGTATAGAGGTATCATTAAATGTACAAAATAAGAAAATAAGCTAGGCACCTCATCGCTGATTGAGTTATTCGTGGGATTGTTGTAGGCGTTCGATCGTCCAGGCACAACATCATCCAGATAAGCGTAGTCCTTAATTGATCAAAGCATGAGAAAATTGTTCTCTATGGCCGAACTAAGCTCGATGTTACCTGGAAGAGGCTTTCTCCCTCACTGACGTTCGACTCCAGATCGTCCTCCTCTATGATTCGGGTCTCATGTAGTCGATGTGGTCCCGATGGCATCGCGAATCGCAGCGATCCGTTCATTTGTGGAGCCTTTGAGCTCTCGCCATTTTCATGGGATGGTGCAACGGAAGGGCGGTCGCGAGGCTGAAAGTGTTCAGTGTGAGCTACCCAGGAGCATTAGTAACAATAATAAGGACCCATATGACTCACCTCGTCGGCAAAGGTGACTCGTCCCTTTGGCTTGTCGCCACTGTGCTTGGTGACAAGAATAGAAGACGGCTGTGATGAGTCAGACGACGTGACCGTAGACGTCGACGAAGATGACAGGCGTTTAGTTTCGTCCAAAAACGGAGGCGACCTGGAAAATGTTGACCTGACTTCACCGACTGCGCTCGGAGGGAGTGCACTATAACGCCAAACGAACATAGTACTCACTATTTTTGGGGCGAAATTTGTTGAGAAGAAAGGGGCGCGCAATTGGGCGAGTAACCACTATCACAATCCTGCATTGTCTACGCACCTTCACAATCGCGTAGAAAAGTCGCCATTTCAATTTTGTGAGGATTTACAACCCACTTCCCGCAGGCTTTGAAAACCGCTAAGGAAGACAGGCAAGGCACAAGGTCTTATCACTGACAATTCAGTGGGGGGTGGTCCAGCCGCGCCGTAGATTTGTGGCGTGGGGCCAGCCTTCTTTCCATTGACACATGCGAGCCTTCGGGCGTTCGAAGTGAGTGATGTGAAGAGAGAACTGGCCAACGCGCGCCAAAACCACGACAAGGCTGACTACGCCCACTTTGAGTGGTAGAGAAGTGTAAGTAATACATGACATAGTATGGTCGCATCGCCACGTGCCCGCATCGCCACCTCCTCCGCCTGCCGCAACTGCTAATGTATTCTCTCCACTCCTATATCAACTTGTATAGCGATCGATCGTTGGCTTTGAATGGAAGTAGCGATGACCGGACGTAGGGATATCTGTCTTCGGTCCATGCCAGCGGCGCTGAAGGAATAACGAGTCTTAGAGGCTGAATGAGAAGTTGTGCTCCATTGAGAAGACGTCGACAAATCTGATGGGCCTGAAAACGATTTCCAATAAGACCCGAGCTTCACTACACGTACTTAAGTAGTGCTGAGAATTTATAGCCTTCTGAGAGCACGATGAACAGGGCTCGCAGTGGCTCCATAAGTCGTGAACTGTGCTACTCACGAGTGATGAGAACCGCATACTACGTCGCAAACCAGACCGTGTTCGAGAATTCTTTCGTACTAGCGTCAGATGATTCGCGCTTCCCAGAAGTGGTCGAAGAACGATCCGTCACAACTCTGTAAGAGCAATATTTCTAATGATGTCCGCAAATAACGCTTTCAAAGCGCAAGGAATGTGGACGCTGTTAGGCGCAGGAGGGCCATTCGTGCACAATCCGCCATCTTCTTTTTCGTAACACATCAATGTTGTAGTAAAACACGGTCTCACACGCGTATGCCTTTTAATTCTGTGAAATCTCTGGAAGCTATCAAACTGATCCTCTTATAGTTACGAAGTTTACAGTCTTGCAAGTATCTCTAGGGGCTAGCGGTGGAGTACTGCGGTTGGCCACCCGTAAAGACCGAACTACGCGTAAGATATGTCAGACTCGAATGTGATTCATCAGGCTGAGCTTAGGCATGAGAAGAGACTTTTAGCACCAACTGCATCGCTTTTCACTAATCGCAATACTCCACTCCAGTAGAAGCTAGAGCTTAGGCGAGCATAGGCGACTAGAGCGGAATCAGCCAGTTCGGCCGCGGCCCACATACCGACCCCTCCCAACCACTGCAGTCCACTATCTGGGCGCAACATAGAAGCATCTCCAAGCTCATAAATAGTAGCTCCGACAACGCGGCGACGACTAATGCTCGTACAGGGCATGTTTGTACGTTGGGATGGCCGGCCATGGGGCCGGTATTCGGCTCGCTAGAGGAAGAAGGTCGTGTCTTGCTTCGATGGAAAAAAGTTCCGGTTTGTTAATATTCTGCTATTTGCCTGTTTTACGTGGCTCTGTGATTCCCCTCCCAATACCTTTCACAAGGTTTTTTTATCTAGAGGAAATTCAGAGAGAAAGAAAGAAGAGAGAGAGTGCCGCTATAGAATCATGGAGAGAATTGGAAGAAACCAGTTGCAAGATGGGAGATGACCCGAAGGGGGGGGGTTCGTATATTTTAGCACACAAGTTTTCCCCAACGCGGCAAAACATCTTTGATTCTGCACCCGAACTCTCCTCCTTTGCAACATGAAAGGTTTCCCCCTGCGCCTACTTTACGTCCTAGATCTTCTCTTCGCAAGCCTGTTGCCAGCTTTCGAACGAGCGCTCCGTCGGACCCCCCTTTTGCCCCTCTGACCGTATAGTAGGTGCTCAACAAAAAGCATAAATCACCTTGAGCTTTGGGATTCTTTCGATCAATAGATATTCTTCCTGTTCCGTCGACAAATGTTCCGAGGGCATCATGTGCTGTGGTGATAGAATCCCTGAGCGTATTCAGATTCGTTTGCAAAAGATGTGGAGCTCGCCAGTGTTGCGGTGCGGTGACCTGAAATATGTTGCGTTTTTCAAGGACAAAAAAACCTGTCTAAAATGGGTGACGTCCACACGCCACGGGCACATTCTATGTTGGTCACATGGGCGGAGTCAGGCGTGCCTATGTTTTGACAGTGCGCTCCTCTCTTCCAAGGCGGTAATAAAGAGAAGCGCAACAGTAAGGAGGGGAAGGTATGTCCGACTCCACCCACACAATCATCGTAGAATGTGCCTTCGACTGATCAAACTGCTTTAACCTTGTTGATCTGCGCACATGCGTTGTCCACGGCTTTGAGGCTTTCCGACATTTGCGAGCAGACGATCCGCTTCCTCGATTGAATCGCTTCTTCGTTGACGTCACTGGAATGAGGTGAATTTTTAGATGTCGCTAGGACCGATGGGGAAACATCAAAATAGTTCTTTGAAGCTCGGCAATAATTCACGCTTGTCGTACTTTGCCGCGGGGCGGGGGTCCTATATGCGCTCCCTGAGTTTTGGATATGCAGCGAGATTTAAGGTTGTGGGATCAGTTGAGAGCGGTGAGCACAGCCTGGGCTCGAAGCGTTGTATCCTTGTCGGTTCCCTTTTTTTTCAAAAATCTGAAGTCTCAAAGGAAGCGAGCAATATCAATCATTTTCCAGTTTTGAAGCATAGTTCAATGGTTGTGAATGACAGCGGGGAAAATATGGGTTAAAAGCGGTTCGGCCTGGAAGGGGCACCAATTGGCGATGCTTGTACAAGTCACCTTGTGAAGACAGACCTGTGAAATCCTATAAGCACGGTGGCCCAGTGGTACAATTTTCAGTTTTACAAGAGTTTGCAAGGGGCTTGTTAGTGAAACGCATGTGGTATCAAAAGGGACTAGTGAAGGAGCAAAATGCTCCTTCCGCATCCCCCCTAAGCCGTACAGTGCCGGTGAATAGACCGAGACATTGTTGAAACTCTCATGAGCTAGGAAGTTTTCCCTTCTGAAGGGCATAGTTTCACTAAAGGTTCATTCCAAGTCAGTATAGTGATTCAAGTGAGAGATAACGATTCTCTTCTTCTGGTGTAATTCAAAACATGCGAGCAGGGTACAGCATCGCGATATGTGGAGTGGTAGTGTTGGTACTATCCTACCCTCGCAACCAAGTATGACCCCCCTCCCCGGAATCCTCCGATGGGACCCTCTCAATGTGCTGTACCATGAATGTGAAACGCGACAGCGGAAATCAGCACTACATCATGGCACTTTGGCGTCAAATCAATCACGTCATGACAGCTTAAGTCCACTATAGGGCCACAAAATAAACACTACATGAGATAAGCTGCCATGGCCTGTCGATTAGACGCCAAGGATCTGTTGCGACTCAATTAGTCAGTAACCGGGCCAAGCCTCAGGTTTCCTGAACCCCTTTTGCTGCACGAGAAGGGTATGCGCAGTCTGGTTTGGTGGGGGCATTTTGGTGATTCCCTATCGATAAATGCTGGCGTCTCTTGGGGAGATCCGTGAACTCTTGTGAAGCTGTTCAATAGAAAGATATTCGTTCACATTTAACAAGTGTCTACAAGTCTCACCAAGGTGATACATGTAATTGAACAAGATTAGCAAA